TTTAATATTATATTTAATTAAATAATATTAAATTCCTTGTTGAAATGAAACCGTGTAATTTTCGTTGATTACATGTTTAATTATTCTGTTTAAAGTTCATTCTTTTATATATAGATGTTTATTTATTAAAAGTTTAATTAACTTGCTTGTAATTATCTTGCGTGTAGATGTAAAAAGTTGGAAAACATTTGTGTAGGGTACACGCGGAAATTCTTTGTTAGATTATTTAGCGCGTTGGAAGCGAACCTGCATAATTAGTATTTAAATTCTCTTTAAATGAAATTTCGCTTCTTTTTTGTTTCAGATATCATTCTTCAGCATCGGCATTCTTACGATGCTTCTGCCTGTTACACCCTCGTTCCTGGTGTTGCTCATCATTTCCCTCGCAATGGGTCTGTTCGATGGGTGCTTCATATCCCTTTTAGGCCCGATCGCATTCGACATTTGCGGTCGAGAAGGAGCAACTCAAGCCATCGGGTTCTTATTAGGCATGTGCTCCGTACCTTTGACCGTGGGTCCGCCCATTGCTGGTCTTCTATACGACCAGACGGGTAAGTGAATCAGTTAATTTATATACTAATCACCTTTTACTCAAACTTCGCATTTACAAGTCGAATAGTTTATCTTATGAATAAAATTGTAATAATATAATTCTGTATAAAAAATTGTTCTTTTCGTTTATTTTATGAGCAATACGACATTATAACAGATTTTATTTAAAAACTTCGTATAAACTATGTAGATTGTTTATTTCTTTTGCGCAGGTAGCTACGATATGTCCTTCTTCCTAGCCGGGATCCCGCCGATTGTCGGCGCGTTAACAATGTTCCTGATAAGATTCGTGAAGAACGACGAGGCGAGAACAGTAACCGAGAACGCGAGGGATAAGGCTGGTTGTCAGAATGGTCGGTAAACAGGTATTTGTGCATTATTCACATCTAACTAACAGAGTTTGTTTCTCCATGTGGTATCGAAAACACGTGCGTGTCGGTTTTGTTAAACTGTTTTCACGAAGGCGGTTGAAACTTTCCATGGAAAGCTTTTCGGATAAAATAAAACACGAAATCTCCCGCCTGCTGTCGAGGGGGACAGAGCATTTGGTAAAAACAAATGAATTCAATATTTCGCGAAATTATGTTTGCACACTTCCGCTCAGACTGTCTATCGCTCCACTACTCTTGCATGAAATTCATTGCATGATATCATACTTCACAGAGTTTCATCGATCTTGCATGATACATTTCATTCTATTCAATTTAACGCATTAAAGACTATCGTCCTGTTAATGCATCATTTTATACCCAATTTTTCCAATGAAATTTCCTCCCTGATGGGTTGATGGAATTCAATTTGGTGCATTACATATTCATGGTGATGGGGATTGGGCATGAAAATGCAAGTTTGCTACGAACACGAACGAAGAGAAACTTTAATAAAAAAAATTTGGGGAAAGGTTAATGGCATGTTAAGTTTAATGAATTTTCACATTTCTCGTTTTTCGTTGGACGAGACTTCTGTCCATTTTAACAATATTAATTATCTGGCACCTGTTAATGTGTATGTTTCACGAAATCCATTTCGTTTTTTATTCGTTTGTCTGTAATGAGAGCTAACTCAGTAATTCGAATTAATCGCGGTAATGCGAGCTTCCAACAATTAATTACTTATTGCACTCTGCGTTGACAGTTTAATTACACCTCGGCTCTGTTATATGACGACATCTCTGTCATTCATTATACGCAATTCATAGTCAGTGTTTACTTTCTAGTAAACGTAATTCGTCTCTAATTTTCCATTTATACATTTCAAACGGTGGAATTAAGCCAATTGAACAATCTAGAGCATATTCCATTTTATTGTAGTAAAGTGACAAGTACATTAGTCCAGCAATTTCAATTTTCCTCGAATATTTGGATATGTTAAATAATCGGTTTTACTGTAGCATTTTTACAGTTCGAAATGAAAATTACGATTCGTTTCGAGAAATACTGAAATAATAGACGAGCATTATTCGCAGTAGTGACGACCAGTTTTAGTCAGACATTGATTTCGTTTAAGGAGTACAATTGTCTGTTTCTATAATGTACATGTAATCTCACTTGTATTCGTAGATCATATTTTTCGTTTTTGTTGTAAATCACATTTTATAAACATAAAAAACATCCAAAAGAATCCCATTCGAATTGAAAATACCATTTCGTCACTGTTTCATTACTTCAACTTTTATGCTAACAGCAAAGCGGCATCTCGGTTTTCCACTAATACCCTGCACTCTTGTCGTATCATCTCGCAATCGTTTAACATCAGCACTTGTCGTTTCCTTTTCGTAAATACTTGTTCGCGTTCGCTCTGATCGCGCCGAAGCCTCGCGTTTCCTTCTGCCGAGAGATACGGGATGTTTCCAGCCAAAACTGTGTGCCCTCCACTTATGATTCCATAGGTCACTCGAGCATCGGCTTTCTGTTCCCGTGGCTCGTACCGGCTATCAAAGACGAGCAACCAGACTGGAAGGTGACGTGCCGAAACGTGCACTTTGGCCACCATTCGTCCGGGTGTTGTGGATTCCACGAAGGCGTCTTGTGCCACGAGCAGAGGATCGGGTGTCCCGATCGTTACAGATACTCAGAGAGCGTGCCACTGCTCCATGGTGAGAATTGGTTGACCACTGGAAAACCAGAGTCGTCGATGCTTCTCACATTTTAATTCGCAAATAAACGATCCTTCTCTGGAAGATAGTTCTAATGCCGCAAATCGGGTGCAATCGTTATAATTTTAAAGGTCTATATTTTTTACTACAAGTTTGAGGAGCATTGATGACTGATTGATTCGATGATCACCGTGAGCGTCCACGCTTAAGTACTGTTCGCCTGGTGTTAGTGGACATTAGCAATAAAAGTTTTTATAATAGATTTTTAATCGTTGGTGAATGATAGAGATAGAAGTTTTAAGTGGAGGACAAGAATAAGATGATGTGCAACTAGTTTTTGATCCGGTTAGGGACGAGGCTTCGTTTTTACACCAGCAATACTCGAGTCAATATTTTTGAATGGATAAAAATTGGTTGTTTATGGAGAAAGGGAATATATTTTTAAATATGGTTCATGTACTCTACTACGTGTGCTCGAAATCATATCGCACATTTTCATATCCTGAGAGACCTGTACAAAGGCTAACGCGCTCGTAATTAATCTATCTGAAAGGAATCTAAACACTCGACAGCATTTATTTCCTAGCTGCCAGTTACAATACGATGGCATTTCAAGTTACTATATTTTATTTTGTGCTCGAGTCGCATTAGGAGTTTTATATTCTAAACTGGATTTTATTGACGATAGATAATGCTGATGATTATATCTCTCGCAGGACAATATTCTTGCCACATCCAGTTCTTAATTTTTCACGTGGAGGTAAATAATTTTTAAGACATATTTTTTGTCGTTAATAAATGTTGTAATTGGAGATGTAGAATATCATTGTTACAAGGAGTAAGAATTTTAGGAACCGTTTTTGTAGAACAAGAATTTTAATGCTGGATGCAATGAATTTATCTCCTTTCAACTAATATTAGAGAATTTTATAAATTCCGTATACGTTTTTCTTTATGTAAGTATATTCGACGAAATCATAATTATTCTCTCTGTTTTATAATCAGGACTAATAGATAAGATTTTACCTGAGTCATAGAATTTTTTTTTATACATAAAAAGTTGTTGGCCATGACACAACTAACGACACAGAGTACACTATTTTCGTAGAGTTATAAGAGAGTAAGAATGTTATTTTTCTCGTATCGTTGTACATAGAGAATAGCTAGAACGTTGTCAAATTATACAGGTGTAAATGAAAAGAATAAAAAAACAAGAATGTTACAAAGACGCTTTTTAAACTGAACAGACACAACTTTAACTCCCAATATAAAAATATGACGTCCATTGTGATATAGTATCTTAATTACTTTCTTTCAAGAGAATTATTTATCTCCTTTGTAAGACATAGAATGTACTTTCATTTATATTCCTTGCCACGATACATACGTGCTTTTTCCTTTTTCTCAGATCATTGTATTGTTTCAGACAAGCATAAGTGCTTGCTCCTTTTCCCTTGAAAACATATATGTACGTTTCTTAGACGTCGATAACTTCGAATGTAGGATTTCAATTCTTATACATGCCACGTTACTGTCTAACTTTAAAAGTAATTCAAAATAGAACGAGTGGGAACAGAATATTTAAAAATGCAGATGCTGTTCGCAAGTAGAAAGATTATTTGAATTATGTATGATTTTATTAATACGAATATTAAGGATATGTATCTTTTCATATATCTTCCATTTTTCTGGGATCATATTTCTTATATTTAGTAATATATTTTATACAGTAGAATCCATCTTTCATAAATACGTGGTATCTACTACATTTCTCATATTTTATGTAATGTTTTTAAACTTCTCATTCGGATTTATCCGGTTTCAACAATTTTTTTCCATTCTTGTTTCTTTAAATCATCTATAACATTTTTCCCTTCACATATAGTTGCGTTCTGTTTCGTTTAATCCTCTGCAATTTCTAACAAACGTTTCTCATCTCCCTCAATGTTTAAGGTTTTCTTCTTACTCCATTTGTTCCACTTTAATTTCGTTTCCCTTCATTTTTCCAATGTTTCATAGCTGTTTAATATGTCATATTTATATTAAATTTGTGATCATAGCTATTATCGTCGAATAGGCAACGAAATCGTTGCTCCATTTCGGAGGATTCGAACTTCGTCGGACTTAATTGGTCAAATTTCGTGGAAACGTGCACCAGACGGGCGAAAGTTTACTGCGAACCGCGGGTTAATCCCCATATCTCGCGTTCGTAGCTTTCAATTTTCCTGTTTCCTTCCGCGGACAAAAGCGAACCGAGGATTTCCTTATCCCTCAATCTTTTCGCTCCTATCTGCTCTATTTTCTTCCTATTAAGAACGTAACGCATTGAATCTCGAAATTACACGTACGCGTGTTTGGAGTAAATCACCACGGAGTACCGTTGCAGATTCCAAGGCATATCTACTACCGCGATAAATCAGCACGCCCTGAATCCGTTTCGATAGTCGTCCAGATACAGGTCGGATTGGATTATAGAGGAAGCAACGCATTCACTTCTTAATAATATTCCATTAAATTAATTATGAGGGATCATTAATAATTCTACTAGTTATAATGGCTATATGTATAACAGGCATATCTAAATCCGATTTCCGTCTGTCAATTTCCAACATTCCATCATGTACGTAAAAGAGATTAACATTTCAAGAAGCTTATTCGATTCATTATTTTATTCTGTAATATGCAATGAATTCTGATGAACAGTTATAAAATTTTCAGTTCGTAAAGATTAATAAAAAGAGGGCGTATGGCGCTTAGTAATTCAGTTAGAGTGGTGATAAATTAGGTATGTAGCATCGTGTCACATCTCTCAAAGAGCTTCCCTGCTCCCATCTTGTTTCCTATTCCGAATATTCATCTCAAGATAGCATTCGTTTTAAAAATAGCTTTAATTATTTTACTGGATACTCATCAAACATTTTAATTATACTAATGCCTGTCACTATAGTACATCTTTTTTGACGATTAATATAAAGATTAGTATTTGTATTATTCCAAGATGACCTCGAGTTAATTAGTGAAAGTGAAATCATATATCCTGATTAATTCCTCGCAGGATGTATACGCCAGGGTAAACAACTTGCATAGTAAATAAGTAGAAATCTGACTACGTATATTATGATGATAAAATGGCGTGTCCTATGCAAATTTTAATTCAATATTCCAGTCATTTCTCGTTTCATTCTATATATATGAATCGTGAATTTTTATTCATTTTTTATGGTACTGTATTATATTCATAAAAATAAATAAAATAATTTTATAGTCAGGTAGTTAAATGTGATATGTACATTTTTTGTGCGAATTAAGCTCGTGATCTCTCGCCCATTTTTTAAATTTAGCGTATAAATTAAAAAATAGTATGATTAAATTATAACAGCTGTACTTTAAAACTGTTTGCAACGAAGGAAATATTAAATACACATATCACGTTTATTTAAAAAAAGAAAGCCAGTGATAATTTAGGAATTATGATTTATTCATCTAACAAGAACTTGTCCAGGTAAGAAAGGGAAGGTGTTGTAAATGTAAACAGGCCGATTGAACGCGAACGAGTTGGCGATCGCTAGTGCCGGGTTTGATTCGAAATCCTCCTCGGGGTTACTGGTGTCAGGGGTCGTCGTCGTCGTCGTCGGCTCTCTGGTTCGCGGGGTCGTTGTGGTGCTCGTCGTTGTCGTTGCCGGCGGGTCGGTGGCGGCCGCAGCGGTGGTGAAAATTGGGGGCTGGCTCGTCGAGTACGGCGGTTCATAGGCTGGTAATCCGGGGGGCCCGTAATACGCATGCAATCGATTGTTGGCGGGATTAAAGCGTCGACCATTAGGACGCCATCCCCTCGGTTTATATGGCGATAAATCTGACGTTGCTAGTCCGATACAGAGGAACGCGAGGGTCAGCTGGAAAATGGAAAAGCAATTAATGGCTCGGCTGTCACCCGCTTTTCCTGTTTGCCCTTTCGCGGCGCGCGGCTGTCTGTAGTGTATACGTTCGAGAACAGACCGAAGGAAACCGTTCATGGCAGCCGTCTATTGTAACCGCGAAGCTAGGATCAAGAACGATCACTCGGTTATCCGAAATCGAGAGAAATAAAGTTTCTCGTTTCATTTTTTTTCTCAAACATTCGATACTTAAATATCAATTCAATTTCTAATATCTTATACTTGATTGCGTACGAATATTGATTAGAATCAGTTTAAACTAAATTCTTTTCTTTATACAAGCAAAGAGTTAATAGTTAATCGTTTATTAAATCGTTGTCTCGTTACCGTTCTCCACATTCTGGCTGCTCGACACCGTGAACTGGGGCCAGAAAATTTTGACTGACTTTTGCTTGCGTCTTTCATTCGTCTTTATATGCTAGTTCACGTACAGTCAGTCGAAAAAGTCTCCGCTCGTTATCTTACAAGGAAATCGTGATTTTGATATAGCATAATAATTTATATGAGAAGCAGATTTCTTTTCATTGAGAAATCGTTTCGAATAAAAGCTTTGAAGGTTAAAGGCTTACATTATTTTGTATTGTTATAATCTCTCTCTGTAGTTAAAAGAAAAATAATTTGGAAGCAATTAATTATCTGTAAAAAAAATAAATTTCATAATTTATCATACTTTATGCATTTACAAAATGAATTAATAAAATGCAATTAAAGTGCAGAACTGGACAGAGTATTAAAAATAATTATTTCTAAAAGCCAGAAATTATTTTAAAAGAATTGCATTCTACAGAAAAGTTTGTAGCCCAGTTCAGGGTACTTTACAAAATTCCATTTGTACGGAATAATGCAGTTCGTTATTTGCCCTGGCAAGGTGTACAGAGAGACTTTCTTCGGCGACTGTATGTGAGATTGGTGTCCAAAGCACCATGAATACGAAACGACGCGAGACGATTTCGTTTCGCTGGTTATTGCTTACCGTTTCGTAACTATTCCCGGACCTATATTACGTGTCGTGAATGATCACCGATTCCCGAAAACCGTCGTAACTTGTTCTCGATTTTCCTCAGCTCACAATTAAATCCATTTATTTCGCCATTTGTTATTTAGTGTAAAGTATAATTACTGGATCTTAACGCTAACACGTACTTCTTTTCAATTCAATATCTCCGATTTAAAGATGTATTGCTTATACAGTCAATCCTAAAAATTTATGTACCTTAGAAAAACGCATTTCCTATAATTAAAAAGAAATCAGACGTTTGAAGAACAATGCTAATAATAAATAGCTACATGCTAAAAAGTATAGAAGGAAAAGTCCAATTAATTATTGGCGAAAAGTTTTTATATAGAACTTGTAGATCTCGTCGTCCTCTACAAAATGGTCCTATAAATCTTCCTCTAAGTCCATTCGTTTGGGAGTTATTGGCAAAAAACGAAAATTTCGCAAAATCTGAAGGGGTACCCTTTAAAAAATCTCGGAAGAATTTTTCTCCTCAAAATTTCGAAAAATGCTTCAAATAAATGTTGTTTTTCTTCTAACTTCGATATTTAACGAGTTAACTATGATTAATCGGCATTTTATGGGTACTGATAAAATCCGACCATTCCACCGTCGAAATGGTGAATTTTGATAAAAAATTTCGTTTTTCCTCAATAACTCCTAAAC